AGAAACATCGATGAGAGAGAAACATCGATCAGCTGCCTCCTGCACATCTCCTACTGGGGATGTGCCCGCAATCCAGGTACATGCCCTTGACCGGAATCGAACCTGGGACCCTTCAGTCCTCAGGCCGACGCTCTATCCACTGAGCCAAATCGGTTTCGGCTTCAGTGTTATTTTTAATGCTCAATTATATTTCCATTAGAGGCCCGATGCATGAAATTCATGCAAGAGTAAGCTTTCCTTTCCCTGGTTGCTGGCACCCGTTTCCCTCTGGCACCCGGGACCCAGACTTCCCTCTGGCTGCCAGCAGGAACCCGAGACCCGGGCTTCCATCGCAGCCCTTGCTTCATCCAGAAGGTCGTCCAGAAGGACATCTGGTCTAGTTAGCATATTACACTTTTATTATTATAGATGTGTAGGTACATCTTAGTTTATTTAGCCCATCTCCAGCTGTTGGATAATAGTATTGTTCTAAACTTTCCAGTATATAAATAATGTGCTGATGGGCATCTTTGAAACTGAATCTTTTCTTTTTTTTTTAAATGTCCTTGACATTTTCTTTAGGATACTAGAAGTAATTGTTATCCAGAAAAAATTTACTAATAAATTGACCTATTTTTCTAACCCTTGCCAATAGCCAGTGTTGTCATTTTAAAACATTCTTGCTATTAGAATACATGAAACCTGATATCTCATTTTTAATTATAATTCTCTCATCCAATAATCTTATCAGCATCAACTATGTATTAGACACTGTGTTTGGCATTAAGATACAATGGTAAGGAAAAACAAACCTGGTTCCTTGTTCTCATGGATCTTAGAATCTAGTGATGGAGACCAATACTAAGTAAAGAATCACACAAATCCTATATAATAAAGAGGTGATATGCAAATTGACCCTCACTCCATCGCACCATCACGAGATGTCTGCCCCCACAGCAGAGACGGGGTTCCTGTAATGAGTGATCAGCAGGCACCTGAGGCTGTGTGGCGCCGGGCTGGGGCGGGGGACTTCAAGCTGTTCCCTGGTGCTGGGCCAAAGGACCTCAGGCTGCGCACCCTGCCCCGGCGCCAAGGGACCTCAGGCCTCACCCCTCACCCCCGTGCCAGACCGGGGGACCTGAGGTCGTGCTCCTGGCCCAGCAGGTATTGATGGGAGACCTCAGGCCAGACCCCCTGCCCCGGTGCCAGGCCGGGGGACCTGAGAGTGTGCCCCCCACCCAGCACTGGACTGGGGGACCCTGAGACTGCACCCCCCCACCTGGTGGGGCTTGATGGGGGACCTGAGGCTGCTCCCCCTGCCCAGCGCCGGGCCGGGGACCTGAGGCTGTGCCCCTGACCTGGCAGGGCTTGATGGGGGTGGGGCTGGCCAGGTCTGGATCTTGCCCAGTGGGGGTGGGGCCGGCCAGGTCTGGGTATTGCCCCATGGGGGTGGGGCTGGCCAGGTCTGGGTCTTGTGCGATTTTGAGATGGGTGGGCGAGGACTTGACTCTGGGTCCTGCAGCATGCCCCAGACTCTGACAGGAGGAAGATTTTCATATACATTTTACTAATTTTCTTTCATCTCTGACACTTCTATTATAGAGAAAGGGCAAATAGCAATATTAAAATA